GAGGAAGACCGGCTCTGAGCTAACATCTATTGCCAATCCTCCTCCTTTTTTTTCCCCAAAGCCCCAGTAGATAGTTGTATGTCATAGTTACACATCCTTCTAGTTGCTGTATGTGGGACGCAGCCTCAGCATGGCCGGAGAAGCGGTGTGACGGTGTGCGCCCAGAATCCGAACCCAGGCCGCCAGTAGCGGAGAGCGTGCACTTAACCGCTAAGCCACGGGGCCAGCCCAGTCCTTTCTTAAATATGAAGTGACATCTGTAGCATTGATGTAGATTGTCCCCCAATATCTCCTCTTTCTTATTTTCCATAGTTATAGGACCTTGATTTTTAGCAAGTCATATGGCTACTCAAAATAAAGATCATATTTTCCAGCTGCCCTGGAAGCTAAAGGTGGTAATGTGATGAAGTTCTTGCTAGTGAGATGTAGCAAGAAATGTAGCAAGAAAAGATGTGTTCATCTTTTGGAAAGAATATGCCATTATTCCCATGTGCATTCTTCTTTGGATAAAATGTAGAGGTAATGCTTGGAAAGCAGCCATGTAGACCATGAGTGATCTTGGAGTGGTCTTGGAAATGGACCCCATAGACATTGGAGCTACAAGACAAAAGGAACGGGGAACCTGACACTGTGGAGTGCCATTTCAATGCTGTATTTTTTTTCTGTTATTGGCAGCTGAATCTCATGCTAATTAATATAACAATCAAGGACAATAGCTACATAAAAGCAAAATATCAACATTAACAAAAGAAAAGATTTTCCTGGGGGAAAAGATAATTTAGAGAAAAAAGAAAACTTAAAAAAACTAATTTCTACATTCAGACATACTTGAGAAGATATTGCATCTATAAAAGAAGAAAAAGAGTCTATAAAAAAGAAGCCAAAACATAAGAGGTATCAAAGACTAAAAAATATGATTCCTCCTCCCACCCATAAAAAAAATCAATAAAATACTGGAAAATAATATCATCAAATATGTCCAGATTTTAGAACAAAAAGGCAAAGAGAATTAAACAAAAAAGATCAGAGATAGAAAGGAAAAATCTAGGTCTATATTCAACAGCCAAGAATCATAGAAAAAGATAGGAAAAAATGAGAAAAGGAAGTTATTTTAAAAATAGTAGATGATTATCTAAATCTGAGGAAGGATGTGAGTACTCAGGTGACAAGTCCTACCCAGAGAACCCCATGGAATGTCAAAACAAAAAGGATAAAGAAAATATCCTAAAAAAATGCCAGGTTGAGGGGAAAAAACAGGTCTGGGATATTTATTACAACCATTCACAGATATCTGGTTCTTCTTTTAGACACTTGGTAAGATTGAATTTACCTGCTCTCTTAAAATTGAATATGGCCATGTGACTTGTTGTGGCCAATGAAATGTGAGAGGAAATGATAGCTAAAACCCTGGATGAAGCCTTTAAAAGCTAATGTGTAATTTACTTTCATTATCTCCTCATTGCCACAGACTAGCAATGCTACAGCTGGTAGTGATCCTCTCAGCATCATTCTGCTATGAAGATAGTATAGAGCAAAGCCCAAGGTTGACCTGGGATGGTTACATATTGTAATCAAGAAATAAACTTTCTTCTGGCCGGCTGGGTAGCATAGTGGTTAAGTGCACGCACTCTGCTGGGGCAGCCCAGGGTTTGCAGGCCCGGATCCCGGGTGCAGACTGACACACCGCTTGTCAAGCCATGCTTGGGCGGTGTCCCATATAAACCAGAGGAAGATGGGCATGGATGTCAGCCCGGGGCCAATCTTCCTCAGCAAAAAGAGGAAGATGGGCAGTGGATGTTATCTCAGGGCTAATCTTCCTCACAAAAAAAAAAAAGAAGAAGAAGAAAAGAAAGAAACTTTCTTGTTTCAGGCCACTGAGATTTGGGGTTGTCACTGCAGACACAGATCTTATTATAATAAGACCATATCAAAGGAATGAAAATAAAATTGGTACTAGAATTCTCATCATTAATGCTGGATACTAAAAAAAAAAAAAAAAAGAAATGAAGTAATACCTTCTAAATTCCGAGGAAATGATTGTTGACCCAGAATGTCCAACCCTGCCAAATGACCATACATTGTTAGACATGAAAGAACTCAAAAAATTCACCTCGTATATTCCTTCTTCAGATGTTCCTTGGGGATGTGTTGGGCAAAACACATGAGTAAAACAAGAATGATTCAGAATAATTCTCATCTTGAAAGTGATGACTAAGACACTAAAAGAACTATGAGAACAATTGTGGGGAGTAGTTAAGAAGTATTGACTTCCCCTAGAGGATTATCATTTGCTTCTTTGGCATTGACATTACCTAACAAACTTTCTCCAGAACAGAGATCAGAAGAGAGCACTCTAGATCTTATTACTTCAGTAATGGCATTCAAACTATAATTGTATCACCTCCCCTCCCTCACCAGTTTTAGATGGGAAAGCAAGAAGAAGTAATGAGAAGAATTCTATATAAAAGAATCAATTCGAGGAACCTCTATCCATTCTGTCATTTGTTCAATTAATTCAAAAAATATTTTGAACACATACTATATACTAATCCCTGTATTATTCCAGGGAATTCAGAGAAAAATATGACAGTCTCTGTTTTCTAAGAGCTCACAATCTTTCAGGAGAGATTTACTCATATAAACCAAGCACCATGCAAAGTGCCCTCATATAATAAAGGTAGGTCAAAGAGGAAGGAGTAGAGAGAGGAACTCTGTGGGGTAAATTCTGTGTGTGTTTTCTAGAGTCCTTGATGTTTTCAGAAGGGACTAGTTTCTAGATAAAGTTGTCCCTGAACCTGGCATCCTTTGGTTTAGAAAACAATCAGTTTCCATTTTTGCTGAAGTCAGTTTGAATCAGGTTTTCTGTCACTTGCAAAGTTCTCTAACTGAATTCCTTAGCTCTAAGAACTTTTATGCTAAGAAGAAGGAGAAAGAAAATTAGTCAAAGAACTGCCAGTGAAAAAGCAACAAGCAGGAGGAATAAGTCCAAAGAAGCAGGAAGCAGCCCCCTAGAAATCCAACCTAGGAGAGCCTCCTGTGAGAAAGGAGGTGCATGGAATGCACAAACCTCCAAGCAGAAAAGGCAGCAAGGACTGGAACAGAATTTGCACAGGTCACAGTCGAGTTGTGTTAAGGTGATGTTGAAAACTGGGAGATAAGTTCATGAGAATAGAATGGGCCTTACTGATGTGGGGGACCACGTTAGAGCCCAGTGACAGGGAGTCACAGTGATCACTTGAATGTATAGTGTAAATTTGTGTGGTGGAAATAATTTAGTAATTTGCTGCAGCAAATTAGATGTTGGAATGAAAATGTGGTTATGGTCATTATGCTTGTACTCCAAATAGAATTGATTTATGGTTAATAGAATGACTCATGTGAGCAATACTGCTGGCTCACTCTCCTACAGTGTGTGACAGCAGGCAATGAATAAAAGCCTGGCTTTCCAGCACATCTATATTTGAGAAGTAATAAGCAACAAGCCTTCTTCTTGCCCTCTATATGTATCAGAGAATGAGCAAAGAAACGCACTGCCTTACACTTACATATGAGAGAAGGGATGGAATGATGGGCTGAGATTAACAGGCTGACATTAACTAGGTGTAAATATAAAATCCTGAGTTTCAGGTAAAAATTAAAAAACATATATAAACACAAGACGCAGGGAGATTCTATGAAAGAGACCTTGAGTTTTTAGCTCATCACAACTCAAAATTGGATTATCTTTCTGGAGACAGGATTGGGAAAGCTGTTTGTAAGGGACAGGGAAAAAGAAGGTTCTGACTGCAACAGAGGCTGAGGAACAATGACTGACTTAGCTGGATAAAGTAGCATCAGGGCGTGGGGGTCATGAATGCCAAGCTGAGCTTTTTTCCATCAGTCCTAGGGACAACCTTATTGAGAATAAGGTGCCATGAAGGAAATGATTCAGGGCGGCAAATTCGAGGCCCTTGGGTTAAGCGAACTAGCAATTTCTGAAAGCGGTCTGAGAGCTGCCTTACTTGAAAAACTTGCTGGGTCTGGAGGCCCCGCGCAGCCCTCAATAGGCTCCGCCCTGGCCAGGCTCCGCCCACGCGCCCGAGTGTCTGAATGCTGCCCCAATCCTGAGGCCCTGTTTAGCCTAATCCCGCCCCCGCCCGCCCCGCCCCGCCCCCTCTGTATCCCTGGAGACGCTTTCGCGTCCCCTGTCTCAGCGCTGGCTGTGCCAGGTCTCGCACCCAGCGCGGGACGGGGCAGCGCTGGCTCCCAGCACCTGCCACTGGTCGGGGACACTCTTGGGAGGAACGAAAAGCCAGAGTTGTTCCCCAGGGCCAGTCCACCGAGGTTCGTGACGGCTGGGGTGAGGCTCGGGGCAGGACTTGCACGGCTCCTAGGAGAGGCAGGCTGTTCTCCGGGACAGTCCCTTCCCTGACCACCACAGACCCTCCTCCGTCAGTCGGTAGATTCTGTCTCAAGCTTCCTGAGCCAAGGCCCTCACCATTTACCTCAAGAAATGAATAGAAGTAGGAGCAGGGAAAGGCACTCCTCCCGCTTCTCAGTCACCTGACCCTCTGAGGGCGGTGGAAAAATAAAACAGGCGTGGGAATAAATTATTAGTCTTGGTTAGAACTAGGAAGGAGCAGAAAGGGAATTGAAATGCCCTTGGTTTGGGTAAAGATAACTCCTTCTCTCATAAGTTTGAGAGATCAAATTGTTATTCCTAATGTCACATTTGTATTGGAATATATCAATACATATACATATTTGAGATGTATTGGCATTTCATTGAATTAATGATTAGTTTCTTCCATAGGGTCTATACTTTGGGATTTAAAAAAAAGTTCATCTAAACACACAGCAGGTATTTGGTATTTATTGTATGAATGAATCTTATCCTATGATTTGGGGCAGGAAGATGAGTTATTCTATTAACTAATTTTTAACTTTTTTGTTCTCTCCTTTGCTATCATCCTTTCCTTCCTGATTTTCAGACTAAAGTCGTAAGCCTGACGAGAGCTTCAGAAGTAATCTCCAAATGTAAGTCAAGGGAAACATGGTCTGCCTTCAAACACTTTGCCTGCTTTATATTTTGATTTAACCATCAATTAATGTCAGTTGGTAGGAAATGTGTGATTTCTATTTATTTTATTTAACAACCTGTCTTATTACCTACCATGGAGTGCTAGAAGTATCCAAAAATTATGATACAGGGGATAACATTTAGTGACTCTTTAAATTTACGTGAATTTTTTTTTTTTGCTCTTTTCAGAAGCACAATTTTTGATATTTCTTCTGTGGTCTTCTTTGAATGTCCATAGTAAAGTTCTAATTTCTAAGTCATGAAAAGTTCTATTTATTATAAATGATTTTGTTGGTGATAGGAAAATCATAATTATTTTGAACTCTCTTGATGACACATAATACATTTGCTTGCTGGGGCTTACTGGCTTCATTTCTTACATCTCAGCTTTTACCCCAAAGTGACTGAATTCTGGAGACAGTGGTCAGCCTCAGACAGAGTCGCTCCCCGAGTAGCCTCTGTCTACACAGGGCTAGGCCTTCCCTTCCTTTGTGTTTCCTGATGAGGATATCTCTGGGGATAGTGGGCAAGAGGGTTACTCTTTGAAGAATTTTACTTGGGGCCAGAAATTTAAACTCACACCGTAGGATACCTTCAGCCTGACCCAGCACTCTCAAACCTTTCATCCTGTGTTTCTCCGTTCTCATTTGTCTTTGCAAGTGGGGGCCAAACTCAGAGACTGTACCTGTGATGCGAGAGCTAACCAGCAGATCAAAGAAACCACCAAGTCTCTTCTGAACACCAACAGTGGAATGGCTTCAGGCAGCCTTTTGATCTTGGTCTCAGCACCCGTAGTGCTGCATGAAGCACCGCCCACTTGCTGGCACTGAGGGAGCTGCCTCTGGGTCCTCCTAACAGACTGCTGCACCCTTAGCTCCTGGGGCTAAGCTCATTCTGGTACCAGCCAGAGAGGTACCTCTCATTCTCCTTCTCCCTTACTCACCTGAATCTGCACCATTCCCCTCCCTGCAGTTGGCACCCGTCTTGTGTGATCTCCTCTGTGGTCTTGAGATAGGAGAACCCTGACACAGTGCCATTGTTAAGGACATGTTCCATTTCTGTTTCAGGCCTAGGTCGGTCACCCCATAGCACTGGTCCCATTCCTCATGGTTGGAGCTCACCTGGGAGCCAGGAACACTGTCTGGCCAACACCAGGAAAATGCTACAACTCATTTTAACAAAGAGCAAAAGGCTTTCTTCACTCCATAGGTATAATTTAAGCCTGAAATGACAGGGCCCTAAGCATGCTTGCATTTTTTCTCACTTATTTTCCCCTTGGGGGCTTTTATATGCTACAATACAGCTGCTTTCTGCTTTAAGAAAATTCAACATTAAGACCAAATGTTCAACAATAAGACTAAACTTATAAAACATAAAAGAGATAGTGATTCCTTAGATGAGAAAATAATTTGTTACAGGATCCCTTTAAATATTTGATGCATTTCAAATATTATGTGTGTAAAATTTCAATACACACATTATTGTGTAAAACAAAATACCCTTATGTGACCATGTATGGTGAAAAACAAAATCCCCTTTCCTAGCAGGCATAGGCAAGGTAGAATGTGGGGTTTAGTGCAGAGAAGGGAGCCTGCTCAACTTCCACCCTAACTTTGACCTTAAACTTTCCAAAATAGATGGGTTGAGGGATATTTTTTCCAACATGCAGTTAATAACTTTTTTTCCACTTTATCATTCAGCTCTGACCACCCCCCATTCAGAGTTTGTGCCTTGAGGCTTGCCAGCAGGCCTTGCGATACTTACATTAAACTAAATTTAAGAGTAAAGGTGCTCCTGCTGCTAATGTTCTCAGATCAGAGGAGAGCAAAATGAAGGAACTGGCGGCTGAAACTTTAATGGTAGGAAACGTTAACTCAGATTTTGGGGAAAAAAAATCACAGTTGATCTGTGAGACAAAGAAGACACGTTCCTCTCCATGTATAACATTTGCATTTGATTTCATTCGATACTTATATTTTCTAGCAAAATTCATCTAACCCAAGTAAACATCAAAAAGAATAAATTTTATATCACGTACTGGTAGCCCAACTTTTGTGGGGGCTTATCCACATCTTGATGGGATATACTGGCTGGATCAGAGCTTCTGGGGCCTAGTTCCTCTGTCCGTCTGTAAGTAGCTGGGTCTTCCTAGTGTTTGGAGAAATTGCAAGTACTGTTTCCTCATTTTGAAGCTCATTGGTGAACCCTTCAAAGGCCCCCGCAGTAATGCAGAGATCACCCCTGCCTCAATGCTCTTGGTAAGCAAAGTGGGGCTCTCAGAACAGAGTCTTAGTTCAGAGAGCATAGGATGTCCCATCCCAGCACAGTCATTGCTTTCTTGTCTCCCTTTCGAAATCTGCTAGGGATAAACAGATTAGGGGTAAAAAATGAGATGGCCCAGATTTGCTCTGTAGCATCAGACGACTCTGGAAGATACAGTCTCCACAGCTTCTCTGAAATAGTCACATGGAAGGTGCGAGCCTTTTGTGTCCCTTCAAACCTGTACATGAGGTCTAACCCTATGTTGGTCATAACTTCTCAGCACACGTTCTGCATAATGTTGCCATTTAGTAAGTTCAGGTTATCCAAATAACTGGTTAATATAATATCTGATCAGAAAAATAGATTTTTTAAATTACAAAAGAATTAAGTCACTGTATTATGAAGTTATGAAGTATAATACAATATGTTTCTAATGTTTGTTCTGGAGGAGAGGACTAACATTTGCTGTTTAGACTGTGCTTTAAAGCTATAACTGTATAAAAATAAATGGACATTATGTTTCACAGATCATATCATGCCCTGATAATCTGAGTAATATTAGGATTCTATTACATCTAAAACAAGACACTGATCTGCTTTAGAATTTTCTCTTTAATTGTGGGGAAGATTATTTTCAGGCCAGGGTAACAATCTGTTTTCAGAACACAAGACTGCCTATTTCTACACTGAATTTCAAAAGATTTTCCTCAAATCTTATTGCTCTCCACTCACCCCCCCACCTGCCGCCATAGCTTTGTGGCACTAGGGAAATTTTGTGTCTCAGCTGTCTATAGGTAGCTCTACCTTAGGCATGACCATATCTCTCCACCCCTACCTCTACCTAAACCACCATCCTCTTTCACCCGGATTTCACAGCAAGCTCCCAGCTGGCCTCACTTCTGTCTGCCCTTCTTCCTCCTACCGTCTAAATTCAAAAGAGAAGCCACAGTGATCCTTTCAAGGTGGAATTCAGATCATGTCACTCCGCTGCTCAAAATCCTCCAACGAATTCTTACCTCAATCAGAGTAAAAGTCACAGTGTTTTACAGTAACCTTCAAGACCCTATACCATCAGAACACCAAATTTCTCCTTAACTTCTTTGACTTCATCTCCTTCTGCTGTTATTTATCCCTTTGCTACTGGTGGGCCTTTGGGTACTTTCTAGTTCCTTGCTGTATTTTTTGCTATAGGTCGTATCATCTGATGTCTATGTATTTTGCTTATTTATATATTGTCCGCTTTTCCCCCACATCCACCCCTGTAATGTAAATTCTTGAGGTCAGAGATTTTTGTTCACGGCTGTTATCTTCAGCACCTGTAATAGTACCTGGCACCAAGTAGAAGCTCAATAAATATCTGTTGAGTACATTCAAGGCCCAGATTGATGGTGATTTACTCTAGGCCACACAGGTAGTAAATGCAAGGTAAATGGTTCAACACTGAAAACAAGCCTTCCAATTGCTCGATGGAGCTAAGAATAGATAGAGGTCAAAACTGAACATAGTGGTGGTGAACCAAGAGGCTCAGGCCTTTTGAATGCCTCTCTCTTTAACAGTAGAAGCATGGGTTCTTTTGCACCTGAAAGCCCTTGCAACATGTGACAATTTTTTCATTCTAAGTCCACAGACATTATTTCCACACTTCTTCCTCTTCAGAGTAAGTTTTAGATAACTTGATTTTATAGATCCACCTTTCTTATTGCTCACTTACCTTCTCCACAGTGGCACATTGCATTTCCCAAAGATGGCCACTACAATATTTCTCATCTCACATTCTTTTCTTTCAATGTGACTTTGATGCTCTCTCATCAATAGATGGGTCTGTGTTCACTAGCCTTGAATCTGGGCAGGTGTGTTATTACAGTAGGAAGTGATGTTATGTGACTGCCAAGGCCAGGCCTTAAAAGGGGATACAGCTTCTGCCTGGCTTTTCTTTGGGATACTTGCCTTTGGAGCCCTAAGCTGCCATATAAGAAGTTTACGGCTGCCTTGCTGTGAGGAAGCCCAAGCCATATGGGGAGGCCATATGTATGTATTCTGGCAGACATCCCCAGGTGAGGTCTCAGCTAATAGTTAGCATCAACCACAGATATATGAGTAAAGACACTTACAGATGATTCCCACCATTGAGTTACCCCCAACCTTCTGAGTCTTCCAGCAGAGGCTCTAGGCATTGTGGAGTAGAGAAAAGCCATTCCAATTGTGCCCTGTCCTAATTGCTGATCCACAAAAAGTGTGAGAGATGATAAAATGATTTTTGTTTTAAACAATCTATTTTAAACCACTACCTTTTGAAGTGATCTGTGACACTGTTGTAGCTGTATGTCTCTCAGGGCAGCTCCTTCCTGGTTCGGACTCATTCTTAGCATCTGTCACTTCTAAGGGAAAGCCTTTATTTGTGAGTGATAAAGTTTTTAGAAAATAGCAAAGTCTGAGCAATTTTCAATTATTGATGGTAACGGGAAAGCAAAGCATGAACGTTTGAAATCCATAGCTGTCCTAAAAATCTTCAGACTTTAATTGCAGCCATGTCACTTAACAAAACTCATACCAAATCTCCTGATTGTCTGAATCTTCGACTCATTTATCAGATTTTCTCCTTACATCTACTTCGTAGTATAGATGCAGGCAAGTAATAAGTTGGCCAAAAGGCAGATAGTGGAAGAAAATAATGAGAGAAGCAACCTGCAGAATCCGCTCACTGAGTATCATTCCTGAAAAAGAGAACTATAGTTCTACACACAGAGATACTCTCAGCTCGATGACAGACTGTGGATCTCTAATAACGTCTTAAAGGATTCATTGAAAGATTTATTCTTTAAAATACCATTTCTTTTTTTTTTGTAGTCCAAAATGACCACCCTGCCCCCACTGCCCATGACGCACCCAAAGCTTACCTCCTTAGCTAGACAGAAGCTGCCATGCTCCCCTACAACAACTCCAAGGTACGTGACCCTGGTTTTCATTTCTTTTCCTACAGAATGAATTTCTTCCAGTAAGAAATGTCAATAGCATATCTCAGAAAACAAAATTGTTTAAAAACAAAAGTATTTGTTACATTCAGAATATTCAAATTTGCTGTTTCAAAAGGATTGATGATGAACCTCACTCAAATATTAAGAATATATTTCTTTAGCGAGCTAGTTCTCATTTGATCATTTTATTTCCTATTCCAATTGTATCATGGTTCCTATAAAACTTTGGAGATACGTTTCCTTTTTAAAATGTGAGTGGAGAATAGAAAGCAGAAGCCTTAGGAATGAAAAGTGTACGGCTTATATCCATGGGGCGCTGAGTGCTGATTTCTGGTTTGGGGGAAGGAGGACACAGTCTTGCTTCTAGGGTAGATTGGCAGGCACGATTTAGCTCCTAAAATGATCCTGGAGCCTGAAAATGCATCATCAGGCTGCTGCTGCCTGTGAATGGCTGCCGAGCTCCTGGAGTTGTAGCTGAGAAACTACAGGACAGAGAACTCAATGTATTTTGTCATAATTATGAATATTAACTGAGATTGTGTTGTTTAGAAATTGCCATTTATGGTAGTATTGGTTTCTAGTAATGCACATATTATTTATCAATATAAATAATGTACACATGTAGGTTTGATTATTTTTTTTATGTGCATACTTTTCAATTCCTGCAAGGCATAGTGATCAAAGTATTGAGACTACTTTGTTCTGAGAAGGATTATACCTCATTTTCAGTATTTCTAGGAAAGACCAAAGCGCCTGGACCAAAATAAATACATTCAGCTACACTAACATAAAAGTTCTTTTATAATAGCCAAATTTTCTTTTAAAAAATTTTGAAAATCAGAAACTCTTCAATGATGCATAATTTCAGTATATATTTATTTATTGGGATATAACTGACATAACATTACGTTACCAGTATATATATTCTTATTTTCCACTTTACTTTTGAATAATGTGAAATATTAACACAGTCTGAAAAAACTTGTTCTTCCTGTCTTTTTTAATGATTGAGATTATGTTTTCTTTTCAACATGAGCAAAAACATTAGCCCACGGGGCCAGCCGCGTGACGTAGGAGTTAAATGCGCACGCTCTGCTGCTGGCGGTCCGGGATTCAGAACTGGGCGCGCACGGACACACCATTTGTCAGGCCATGCTGTGGCATCATCCCGTATAAAGTAGAGGAAGATGGGCATGGATATTAGCTCAAGGCCAGTCTTCCTCAGCAAAAAGAGGAGGCTTGGCCTGGATGTTAGCTCAGGGCTGATCTTCCTCACAAAAAAAAAAAAACATACCCCAATCTCACATCCCTAAAATAAGATGAATTTTAAAGAATATTTTTCTTATTTTCATTTTATTGAAGAAAAATATTTTGATTGTAACTATTTAAGGCAAAGTTTTGTATCAACATTCTCCATTAGCTTCTGAATAAAAACATATATTTGTTTAGTCCCGTACTCCCATGGTTATAAGATGTTAATAGTATGCTTATTTTTAAAGGTGCAAGGGGGTGAGGGTGAAGAATGAATACACTACACGTGTAATATATCTCTCAGTAAAATCTTCTTAAAATCACTTTGCACCTTGAACTTTTAATAATAATTTGAGTTTTATGTGTGATTAAAAAAACCCAGTCAAACAGCATTTCAGAGCAAAATTTGGTAATGTTTAGAACAGATAAATTTTACACATATGTATCAAATAAGTATTCTTAGTTCAAGATTCTGTGCCAACAGAATATGACTTCTATAGTTGGCAAGTTATACTGTGAAACAATGTTAAGTAAAATGGAAGATCTTAAAAGCTTTGAGGAGAAAATTCCATTTATTTAAGAATGTAGATTATTTTAATCTGTTTGGTGTTTTATTTGTTTACACACTAGGTTTAATATTCTTCCCTATCATTTTCCATTCAAGAAAATTAAAAATTTGAAATTATTAATCAACAACCTAACTGTATAGCTATTGTAGAACATTTATTATATATGGCATTATTCCTGAATATTTCTGTTCTCCTGGAGGCATTTTATATATTTGGTAGCTTTTCAACTTGATAAGGCAGTGCTTTATTTCTTTCCATTTCATTTAGGTCTCAATTGATCAAAGAGAAAGATGACATAGATCATTATCTGGAGGTGAATTTCAAAGGATTGTCAAAAGAGGAGGTTGCTGCGTAAGTATAACCTCTTAAAGATACTTTAATATAAAGTTTGTTTCTTTTGTCTTGATTCTTTACTGAAATTTCAATTTTCCTGTGCAGTACACTTTTTCATTGGAACACAGCATTTAAAAATTAAAGCTCATATTAAATAGTGATAAGTCATGTCTATTGATCTTACACATATCAAAGTCTTTAATTTTATGGCTTTCAAAATTCTCATATTTACCAAGATATTATACTATCACATTTGCAATATTTTAGTTAAATTTGTGCCATTAATTGCTTAATAACCTCCATTTTAAGGTACGTTGCCTCTATGGGGGAGAAAAGCTTTAAGAGAAAGATTCATATTTCATTTTTTCCTGTGATATTTTAAAAAAAATCTTTCAATAATGTATCTTCTCCCCCCTGCCCACCACCAAGAACCCACAAAAAGAATTAACAGATTATAGTTTATTGGTTAATTTTAAAATAATTCTAACTTGTCTGGAGTTATTTTTTGAATGAACAATGTAAACTTTGCCATTTTACCACTAATTAGAACCTAATTTATGGTATGAGTAAAAACAGTATAAAAATCCATGTAGATTAGTAAGAAATGAATAGAAACCTAGAATAATAGCATTTAGTATTTCTTACCTACGGACTTAGTGACTCTGTTATTTTCAGATCTTTAGATGTAAGCATTGAAAAATGAAAATATTATAAATGCACATGTATCTTATGGAATACATTAAATGATTCAATTAAAATGTTTTATGCAACAAATGCTTTTAAAACATTCTGTTAGTTTTGTCTAGTGCTATGGTATACCAACGAAAGAATATTCCTAAAGATATTTTTGGTATAGGTTTTCATAAGTCTAAAATTCTAAGTCTCTCCGTATATTTCATTTTATTAGATATTATCTTTGTCAGTTTGCATATACCATGGAAAAATGGAATAGTTCATTCTGTCAGTAGCTACTTTATTTTATAGAGTGACAAAATTTTACAGTAACTATAGTCACTGTCTTCCTTGGAGCTCTATTGACTGCCACGTGTAGTATCTGGGACCTTTGGTTAAATGCTATTCTGATTGTTAATTCATTAACTTTCCATGGTAACCAACTGGATAAAATTAAAGGTCAGTATTGTCTGATGATACAATTATTTCTTAAAATCAAAATATGTATGAGTGATATTTGCATTCTGATTTAAATATAATGACATCAAATAGCTGTAATTGGCTTAAGAATGATTAAATTTGGAATTTAACTTATGTTTCACATAATTAACATATAACACATAATCGAAATCCATATACTGAAAATCTGCTAAACTTTCAGTCTGCCCTGATGAAAACTGACTTAAGACAATGCAAAATAGGCTATGCTGATAAGTGTTCTCTTAATAATATCATCTTTCTCACTAAGGATATTGCCAAATTGGTTTCAAATCCATATTATGCTACAGAAAACAAGTAGCACTGGGTAATTCTCAATCTTACTATTGCATTCTCCTTAAAGCTTCTTTCATTTGAATGCTTTTTTAGACCAAAGCTCTTTTCCTAAGATAGTGGATGCAAATCTTAGAAGGAAGATAGCTAGTACTTAGCTCCCTAATCTGCTCTTGATTGATATACATTTAGACTTTGCCCCAGACAAACTAATTGCATAGCATGTAAAGGAGAAAATTGATGAATGATTTCAGCATCTCCCAGCAATACCCAGCAGGTGCCACGAGGAATTATGCGTATTCTGTTAGCCAAGGAACTGCTGCGTAAAACTTTTTATTAGCCATTCAACTCTAAAAAGATAAATTGGTCAACAAGTATTTAAGTCCTTACTTTATATCTAACGCTAGGTTTTTCACAGTGGGAGAGGCAATGATATTTTATTGTAAAAATACTTGGCCCCATCCTTGTCTCCATCTGAGACAATAAGATCTGCGAGCAAGAAACACATATGGAATGAAAGAGTGCTGATTGTACTGTGAGGTGCAGCCTAGAGGTCTAGAGGAAATCAGAGAAGACTAAGGTGGTAGGATGAAACTTGCCAAGGAAGACAGATTCTGAGTTTGGCTCCCTATCTGATGACATTATAAAATAATCAAACTGGTACATCACAGATCCTCAGTACACAAGGGTGTAATGGGAAGAAACTGATGAATCAAATTTTCTTTTATTTTTTTATATGTTTTATTTGTGGGGGGGAAGATCGGCCCTGAGTTAACATCCATGCCAATCCTCCTCTTTTTGCTGAGGAAGACCGGCCCTGAGCTAACATCTATTGTCAATCCTCCTCCTTTTTTTTTTTTTTTTCCCTTTTTCTCCCCAAGGCCCCAGTAGATAGTCATACTTCATAGTTGCATAGTTGCTATATGTGGGACGCCACCTCACCATGGCCGGACAAGCGGTGTGTCGATGAGCACCTGGGATCCTAACCCGGGCCACCAGTAATGGAGCGCGCGCGCTTAACCGCTGAGCCAGGGGGCCTGCCCCTGAATCAAATTTTCAATCAGGAAAAAGCAATGTGTAAGATATACCCTCAAATCCCTCTGTGTACTCCCTTATTCCTCTCTAAGATGGTAATAGATATTTATAGCTATTATATAACTGATGCATACTAGCTTTGATATCCCATAATATGCATGTGCTCTGTGTCTAGTCCCAAAATAACACTTCATCATCTACCCCAAATTATACCAACTTACTTATATGTAAACTCACACTCTGTGGCTTTCCTCCTATTGCAATGGGTGGAGAGTTCCTGTTCTTGTCTAAGGAAGATGCCCCTACTTGTGCTCTGGACACCATCCCCTTTTACTTGTTCTAAGACTTTCTCCTGCATTTAAACATGTTTTCCTTCTACATCATCAATTTCTCCCTTTCCATTGGGTGAACCTCACTAGCATTCGTACCTACTCTAATATTTCCCTTGACTTATTCCCTTCCAAGTTCTACCCCATTTTTCTCTACCCTTCACTGCAACCAGAAGCACTGTCTCAATATTTTCATAGCCTGTTCTTTTCTCAATTGACTCTAACTAGGTTTTCAGCCCCAGAACTCACTGAAATCTGTTTAAGGTGACCAATGTCCTCCGTCTTTACCATATCTAATGGTCCTCATCTTGCTTGATGTCTTCACAGCATTGGATAGTGTTGAGCACTCTCTCCTTGAACATTCTGTACTTGTGGCTTCCAGGATGCCATGTTCTATGGTTTTCCTCCAAACTCTTTGACTGGTGCCACAGTCTCCTTTGCTGGCTGGCTTTCTCTTTTCAAAGTCTCAGTGGTAGGTTGTCCTAGGGCTGGGTCTTAAGCTCTCTACTCCAACTGCACTCTCTACCTGGACCCAGTCTTTTTTTTTTCAAAGGTGAAGTTTTTTTTTTATTTTGTTTTTTGAGGAAGATTGGCCCTGAGCTAACCTCTATTGCCAATCTTCCTCCTTTTTTTCCGTTTTTCTCCCCCAAAGCCCCAGTAGATTGTTGCATGTCATAGTTGTACATCCTTCTGGTTGCTCTATGTGGGACGCTGCCTCAGCATGGCTTGGTGAGCCATGCGTAGGGCCACGCCTGGGATCTGAACCTGTGAACCCCTGGCTGCTGAAGTGGAGCATGCGAATTTAACCACTATGCCACTGGGCCGGCCCCTGGACCCAGTCTTATACCTTTAAACATTAGCAATAACCTGACAACTATCAAATTTATAAATCCAGCCTTGACATCTCCATTGAGCTCCAAATTTTTATATCCAGCTGCCTCCTTGACATATGTGCTTTACTTCTACTGCCCCTCACTCCCACCCCCCAAAATATTCCTCTCACAGTCTTCCCCCAGTTCAGTAAATGGCACCAAAGCAGCCTTGAGTTTCACCTTGCCTTCACCACTCCTCCCCCATCTAATCCATCAGTGTGTCGTAACAGATATAACTCCAAAATATATCCTGTATTCATCTACTTCTCTTCATTGCATAGCCACCATCATCTCTTACCAAGATCACTAAAAGAGTCTTCTAACTGCTCTTCTCGTATTCCCTCTAACTCCACAAAAATTCAGTGACCAGAGTGATCTTTTGAAAAAATTAGATCATGACACTCCCCTACTTAAAACCCTCAAGAGCTTCCCATTGGTCTGATGATAAACTCTAAACTCTTCATCATGGCCTAAAGCTGTGCATGGTTTGCACTTGGCTGACCTCTCTGACTTTATCTTCCATTCTCCCCACCACTCACTCCTCTCAGTGTGGCCTTATTGCTGACACTCCGTCTTGTCATGCAAGTGTTACCTTGAATTAACCTCCTCAGTCTGCCGTTCCCTGACCTCAGAATCTAGTAGCCCTCACCCCACCCACACTCACTCTCAGTCAAATCATCTGGGTCTGTTTCTGCTGTAACCTGGCTCCCATCTTGCATTGGGAGTTGGCATGTTGACTGTCTTCATCCTTAGCAGAATGGATGTTCCACAGGAACAGGAATGTGTCTGTAGGTAGGCCACTGTATCCCCAGAGCATAAACAGGGCCTGGCATGTGGTTGGAACTCAACAACTAGATGTTAAATGAATGAATGAGTGAAAGAATAAATGTAAGATTAACACCATGAAATAGGTATCCTGCTATGAATGTTCTTTGGTTGCAACATTTTTAGTTAAATGTTGTATGTAGCTGGTTTGACTCTTGAATCGAGGAAGTTTAACTTCTCAAAAGTGTTTTATCTACACAAGTAGCAGTATAAAATTTAAATGAATGAATGAGCAGGACAAGCTACAGTAATTTTACTGGAATGGCCAAATCCAATTGATGAGAGTTTATTTCACTTTGGACTGGGTAAGATAGTTGAAAGGCAAGAGCTTCTGGGTTTTTTATTGTCTGCCTTTACAGAAGGAATTTCAGTATGCTTCATTACATTTTAAGTGACTAGATTATTGCTGTGCCTAATAGGTACATTTTTTCAAAGGTATTGTACTCATGTACAATATATTTGACACTGATAATTTGACTTTCTTAGATACGTCTTCAAATAGGTTTTTGATAGT